TTGTGTATATATAGGAATAGGTTAGGTTAGGTCAGGTGTTTAGGTTCTGTTGGCGATTATTTGTATTTGTAGTACGTGGGTGAAGCATTTACAGCGTTGTGGTTCGAACAAAATTCGTCAGTGAAGCACTTGTTCCGGAAGTGTTCGAACGCCAGCAGTTGTGAGTCGTGTGTAAACCGCTTTTCATTCATAAACAGCTGGGGGGTTTGGCGGGTGGATGGAATCACTTTTGGATCTTTGGAGGACGGGCTGCTGGCAACCATGAACGCCAACCAATCCGACAAATTATTGTGAACAACATTTACAGCAGTACAGACTCGTCAAAATCGTTAGTATGAAGCAAAATCACCACTTGACTGGGAAATACACGGACCCCCTTCCCCCCCCCCAAGGGGGGGAAGGGGGTCCGTGTAGTATAAATAGTATAATACTACATATAAATAGTATATATGTAGTATATAAATAGTATAAATACTATAGAATAGTATTTATATAATAATAGTAGCCTGTACTGTAATTTATATTATATATAATAGTATAAATACTATTTATACAATGTATTTATACTATTTATACAATATTTATACTATTTATACTTAAACAATGCAGGGGTTGTGTAATACACAACCCCTGCATTGTTGTGTATTACAAAAAATACATTTAATCAGGCTTATTTGAGGGATACAAAAAGGCGATAAGAGATATATAATTAATAGGAACCATGCAGTGAATACGCAAGGATTCATCCTGTCATTAATTATAGCAAGCTTTGTACAGCCTCATTATGAGAAATTTCCTTCGTGAAAAATTTCCCTCATTACGACAAATATCTGACAAAGTGAAGTGTATCATACAACCTGAATCGTGTATGTCATCTAATTACGTGTCCTGTAGTGTCCTGCAGGTGTACAATACAACACTTGCAGTTGTATTAATACATGGCTGCAGCTCCTGTAGTCTCATGTGAGGGAGGGATGAGGGGCTGGTACCATTGATATGAATTGTATTTTAATTTTAACACTATAGAAAAATTTAAATATGCGTTTTTCAAATGTCTACCAATATGATTTTATTTGTGCAAATTGACTGTGAGTGAAGGTTAAAATAAACTGAATATGTTATGTACGGCTTGTAATAATTAAAATACAAAAAATAATTAATGTTTGTGTCATTACTCTATGAACTGAGGGAGTGAGCAGCGAGGGGGGGGGGGGGGGGGGTTCTTCTCCGGCGTTGGAGTATTATAACAATTTTAAATTATACTCACTTGTTTGTTTTTAATTTAAAAATAGGACGTATACACTTTCTTGATTTGTTAGGTAATTCAATAATACAATATTTCGAGGTGAAATATATAGAAAATAGGGCCAGGATCTAAAACTATAACATTTTCTACGTAAAATGTTGTAGTTTTATAAAATATGGGTTTAAAGGTTAATGGGCAATAGTCATAATATATAACTCTTGCTACTGACAACAAAACAAGTCAAACAATTAAGTTTCCCCTCATATGGCTCTAAAATAATACTAAATGTAACTCATTTTATCTTCCCTACCTCAACTTGGGGTTAAGTACAAGTTTCTCAAACTCTGTTAAGTTTAGTTAAATTCCTCCGTATTGCAATCCATTTCAAAGTCTAAACTATAAGAGATGGATGTATGTGTGTGTGTGTGTTTGCCGTTTGTCAGTCTGTCCAAAGTTGGAGGCATAGGGCTAGCCTCACTCAGGTGGCAGGGGAATGGGTCTAGGGAAGGGACGTATATAGGCTGGGCGAGGTAGACCTAAGGCGTTATGAAATATCAGCTTGGACACCTCCATACATCCCCCTCCCCATCCACCACCCAGTCCGATTTTCCTAGTCTTAAATGAAATCGTGGATGTGATTTCCGTAGAGTTTCACGTTTTACTGGGTAGCTACACAAATGCAGATGTACCTAATTTATTAATAAAAATATCAAAATAATGAATGCCAGGATCAGGTTGGGTTACCGTTACCTGTGGCAGGTGGCTGCAGGTGACGGATCTCCCAATCCTGAGCACTCCAGGTGCAAACTCTGTGAGCAGGAACTGCGGCATGATCTCCCACACTACATCACCGAATTCCCAGTTATTAGACCATTCAGACCAGTTGGCATAAGGTACCTTGAGCTTTGCAATTACTTTATTCACTCTCGTGTTCTTGAAGATATCCTCATATTGTACCCAAAATTTGCCAGTGCAGGCTACTGAACATATGGCCCTGTATGACTAACCATCCTGCGAGATGGGGACTTTTTTAGCATCACGTAGCTAGCTTTTTTGACACACTGTACTCCCCTTCATATAGTCTAGGGCAGCTGCACAAATGCAGATACCAGTATAAAAATCTAGGATTTGTTCAGATCTGAAACTTATGTTTAAGGGCAACACAAAACGTGGACCAGACTGTGCGACACAGTGGTTGCCAGGATCAGGCTGCGTTACCGCTACCTGTGGCAGGTGGCTACAACCACCTCCCTAAAATTGATTTACGAGAATTTACCTAACAATGGTCATTTCATGCACGCGCGCACACACACACACACACACACACACACACACACACACACACACACACACACACACACACACACACACACACACACACACACACACACACGTATGTTTCAAGCGTAGTGTACGTTTCAAGTGAAGATATGATAGAGCCCAATAGGCTCGGGAACCTGTACACCTGTTGATTGACGGTTGAGAGGTGGGACCAAAGAGCCAGAGCTCAACCCCCGCAAGCACAATTAGGTGAGTACAATTCGGTGAGTACACACGCATGCGCACACGCACGCACGCACGCACACACACACACACGCACACACACACACGCACACAGGGGAACGCCTGCCTACTTCAACCGCGAAGCCTCTTAGGGGAGCTTCGTTGCTCTCTATCATAGGATAGTCAACCCTTCACCGTGGGATAGACTATGAGGTACCACCATGCTGTGCCCGGGATAGCTTATCCCAACATTAATTATTTCACCCTTTTCCGCCAATCCACACCCCTCCCCCCCTCTTCATTTCCCCTCTTCTCATCCATTTCCCTACCCCCTCCCCTTGCCTCCAACCTCAGTGTTATATAGACCTTTCAATTTATATAAAGTAAATCATGAAAATGCGTGAGTAAAACGTCGACACTCTACGGACAACTCATCCCCGATTTCATTTTCGATCTTAAAAATCGCACGGGGGGGGGGGGGGGAAGGGGTAACACGCTATATTTCTTAAAACATTTAAAACTTATGCCTTCCATGTTCACTATATCCATGTTGTACACCCAACCATTTTCCATAACAATTTTGGTGAGGCTCGCCTCAGGCCCCATATATATATATATATATATATATATATATATATATATATATATATATATATATATATATATATATATATATATATATATATATATATATATATATATGTAGCCAGAACGCACTTCTCAGCCTAATATGCAAGGCCTAATTTGCCTAATAAGCCAAGTTTTCCTGAATTATTATATTTTCTCTAATTTTTTTAACTTGTGAAATGATAAGGTAGCTACCCATTTCATTAAGTTTAAGGTCAATTTTGTTTTATTGGAGTTAAAATTAACGTAGATATATGACCGAACCTAACCAACCCTACCTAACCTAACCTAACCTATCTTTATAGATTAGGTTAGGTTAGGTAGCCGAAAAAGTTAGGTTAGGTTAGGTTAGGTAGGTTAGGTAGTTGAAAAACAATTAATTCATGAAAACTTGGCTTATTAGGCAAATCGAGCCTTGCATAGTAGGCTGAGAAGTGCGTTTTGGCTACTAGGTACGACATATATATATATATATATATATATATATATATATATATATATATATATATATATATATATATATATATATATATATATATATATATATATATATATATATATATATATATATATATAATATATACATACATATATATTATGAATGGCGGTGTCAGACCACGAAGAAATGATTAAGACAGGAATTTCCCTAAGTATTGTCCTTAGTATTTCCTTTGTGACATTGTCGCATTATTCATCATGTGTTAATTTCTTCGTGATTTACACACAGACAAACACATATAAAAAACACACACACACAAACACACACATACATAAAGCTTTAATGCTCTTTGTATTCTCGAAACAGTGTTACCTTGAGCAGCGACCTCCAACCTGTTCTCTTAAAAATAACGTCGCTTTTGGCCGTCGAAAGTACGGCCGAAAGTGGACGTTATTTTAAAATTAAAAAAAATGAAAATATATTTGGGATTTTTTTTCAACAACAGTTAGTTAAGGGTCGTCTGGTAGGTTAGGTGGGCAGGAAATTCTCATAAAGTTTCAAGTCTGCTGCTCACGTCCTTGTTTCACGTATATATCGTTACCCCAGACATCCATCACCCAGGGTTACTTGCTTACATGTTTTTGCTGTTACTCCATTAGGAAATATGTGTGTAAATGATGGGCTTGAGGCAGAGTTAAGACACCCTGGCTGACGGAGGCGCGTGGGCAGCTCAGCAACACAAGGGCCGCCAAGATGCTGGTTCTGGAAGCCAAGCGCGTCTCGTGTCGACAATTAATAAGCATGTCAACTGGAATACATTTACCATGAGTGGGCTGCCTATTAGCCTGGTTGAAATCCTAAAAAAGCTACGCCATCCATCGTAGATAATAAGGTCTCTCCCGCTGCAATTTACGGGCGCCCCGTCGTGGGTCCGGTGAGCAGACGTCAGCATCACCCCATGTCCGGATACCCATAGTCTGTCGCTGACAATCAAACCATTCGCATAACAAGAGCGGTCGTGTGAATAGGGGCGTGTATAAAACCAGATGCCGTATAACTAGAGTGTCCGGATAAACGGGAGGTGAGTAATGAGGAGGTAATGGGGAGCAGTGGAGGCGTGTGGGTGTGTGGGGATGGCAGGCGACGGACAGCCTCCCATGCATGGCCAGGCGGCACCTTTGTTCCTTAAATGTTGTGCGCTGCGTGGCCGGCATGCCTGCCCGCCCGCCCTCGCTGACACCTCCACCTGCACAACCTATTCTTCTTCCTCGCTCTGTTGCTGCTGCCGGACCTCTGTTCCTTCTTCACTCTGTTGCTGCTGACGGACCTCTGTTCCTTCTTCACTCTGTTGCTGCTGCCGGACCTCTGTTCCTTCTTCGCTCTGTTGCTGCTGCCGGACCTCTGTTCCTTCTTCACTCTGTTGCTGCTGACGGACCTCTGTTCCTTCTTCACTCTGTTGCTGCTGCCGGACCTCTGTTCCTTCTTCGCTCTGTTGCTGCTGACGGACCTCTGTTCCTTCTTCACTCTGTTGCTGCTGACGGACCTCTGTTCCTTCTTCACTCTGTTGCTGCTGACGGTCCTCTGTTCCTTCTTCACTCTGTTGCTGCTGACGGACCTCTGCTCCTTCTTCACTCTGTTGCTACTGCCGGACCTCTGTTCCTTCTTCACTCTGTTGCTGCTGCCGGACCTCTGTTCCTTCTTCACTCTGTTGCTGCTGACGGTCCTCTGTTCCTTCTTCACTCTGTTGCTGCTGACGGACCTCTGCTCCTTCTTCACTCTGTTGCTACTGCCGGACCTCTGTTCCTTCTTCACTCTTTTGCTGCTGCCGGACCTCTGTTCCTTCTTCACTCTGTTGCTGCTGACGGTCCTCTGTTCCTTCTTCACTCTGTTGCTGCTGACGGACCTCTGTTCCTTCTTCACTCTGTTGCTGCTGACGGACCTCTGTTCCTTCTTCACTCTGTTGCTGCTGACGGACCTCTGTTCCTTCTTCACTCTGTTGCTGCTGACGGACCTCTGTTCCTTCTTCACTCTGTTGCTGCTGACGGACCTCTGTTCCTTCCTCGCTCTGTTGCTGCTAACGGTCCTCTGTTCCTTCCTCGCTCTGTTGCTGCTGACGGACCTCTGTTCCTTCCTCGCTCTGTTGCTGCTGACGGACCTCTGTTCCTTCCTCGCTCTGTTGCTGATGACGGACCTCTGTTCCTTCTTCACTCTGTTGCTGCTGCCGGACCTCTGTTCCTTCCTCGCTCTGTTGCTGCTGACGGTATTCATCTTACTCCTACTCCTGCTGTTCGTAAGGCATGTGCCTGGTCCTTGAGCTCCTGATGTCACCCATCTTGACACGCCGGGCCTCGAGGCTTCCTCTACGTTCGCTTTTGATGCAAAATGTACAGCTGCCTGCGTTGCCTGCTGCTCTCGCCTGTGGATCATGGGGTACTATTGCCCGCCAAGACCTCTGCCTGGTGTCGTGCCCGCTACAGTGAGCACTACACCAGGCACAGGCCCACGCACACGCCCACGCTGGAGGCGTATGCTTGCTACAGTGAGCGCTGGGGGGCGTATGCCAGCTACAGTGAGCGCTGGGGACGTATGTCCGCTACAGTGAGCGCTTGGGACGTATGCACGCTACAGTGAGCGCTGGGGGCGTATGTCCGCTACAGTGAGCGCTGGGGACGTATGCACGCTACAGTGAGCGCTGGGGGCGTATGTCCGCTACAGTGAGCGCTGGAGGCGTATGCCCGCTACAGTGAACGTTGGGGGGGGGGGCGGTTTAGTCCTTGGGAGGTGGCGATACTGACGACTGGGTAATGGGTGGTAAAGAATCTTGATGGGTTGATTACAAATTATCTGGCCACTTAAACATGTGTTGAAATATGTGGGCCAGTATTGGTGGTCTGTGGTAGTAGAGTGGCAGCAACTGAATTCATAAACAATCTTGAAATGCAGACGAAAATAAACAAAACCTTTCAAATGCCAAATGCAAATATCCTCCAGTATTACTACATACGTTAACAACAACAAAAATAACATGCAAAACCACACGCAGTGCAAAATGAAGCCGCAAAAACACCGTCCATCAAGTGATCAGATAATCTAGGAGCTCCACGAACACCTTCACACACAACCACCACTATAAACACCTGACTACACCAGCGAGCCACCAGGGTGTGGAACACCAGCGAGCCATCAGGGTGTGGAACATCAGCGAAATGTTAAGACCCAATGTTAGAAACATTACTCCAAGATGAGACGCCCCGCCGCAATAGCTGGAGATCTAAGAACTTAACATCTACTTGATGGACACTAAGCCACACAATACAACTTGAAAAAAAAACTTCAAAACATGAACACAAACATCTGTGTATATGTGAATGCTACACAGTATTCATCTGTAGACATCCACATATGTTGAAATATATGTGAAGAACCTTGCACTCGCAGCTTCCTGACAAAAGACAACAAGCTTAGCTACCAAACACACAAACACGGAGGGGGAGGGTTGGTGGCTGAGTGGACAGCGCTCTAGACTCGTGGACATACGGACCAGGGTTCGATCCCCGGCACCGCCAGAAAAACAAATGGACAGAGCTCCCTTTACCCTGATTCGACTGTTATATAGCAATAAATAGGTTCCTGGGAGTTAGACAGCTGCTACGATCTGCTTCCTGTGTGTGTGTGGGGGGGGGGGGGGTGGTTGTGGTCTGTGGTAGAGGGGTGGTTGTGGTCTGTGGTAGACGGGGTGGTTGTGGTCTGTGGTAGACGGGGTGGTTGTGGTCTGTGGTAGAGGAGGTGGTTGTAGTCTGTGGTAGAGGGGGTGGTTGTAGTCTGTGGTAGAGGGGGTGGTTGTAGTCTGTGGTAGATGGGGGGTGGTTGTAGTCTGTGGTAGATGGGGGGTGGTTGTAGTCTGTGGTAGAGGGGGTGGTTGTAGTCTGTGGTAGATGGGGGGGTGGTTGTGGTCTGTGGTAGATGGGGGGTGGTTGTGGTCTGTGGTAGATGGGGGGTGGTTGTGGTCTGTGGTAGATGGGGGGTGGTTGTAGTCTGTGGTAGATGGGGGTGGTTGTGGTCTGTGGTAGATGGGGGGTGGTTGTGGTCTGTGGTAGATGGGGGTGGTTGTGGTCTGTGGTAGATGGGGGGTGGTTGTAGTCTGTGGTGTAGGGTGGTGGTTGTGGTCTGTGGTAGATGGGGGGTGGTTGTAGTCTGTGGTAGAGGGGGTGGTTGTGGTCTGTGGTAGATGGGGGGTGGTTGTAGTCTGTGGTGTAGGGTGGTGGTTGTGGTCTGTCGTAGATGGGGGGTGGTTGTAGTCTGTGGTAGAGGGGGTGGTTGTGGTCTGTGGTAGAGGGGGTGGTTGTGGTCTGTGGTAGAGGGGGTGGTTGTGGTCTGTGGTAGAGGGGGTGGTTGTGGTCTGTGGTAGAGGGGGTGGTTGTGGTCTGTGGTAGAGGAGGGTGGTTGTGGTCTGTGGTAGAGGAGGGTGGTTGTGGTCTGTGGTAGAGGGGGTGGTCTGTGGTAGAGGGGGTGGTTGTGGTCTGTGGTAGAGGGGTGGTTGTGGTCTGTGGTAGAGGGGGTGGTTGTGGTCTGTGGTAGAGGAGGGTGGTTGTGGTCTGTGGTAGAGGAGGGTGGTTGTGGTCTGTGGTAGAGGGGGTGGTCTGTGGTAGAGGGGGTGGTTGTGGTCTGTGGTAGAGGGGGTGGTTGTGGTCTGTGGTAGAGGGGGTGGTTGTGGTCTGTGGTAGAGGAGGGTGGTTGTGGTCTGTGGTAGAGGAGGGTGGTTGTGGTCTGTGGTAGAGGAGGGTGGTTGTGGTCTGTGGTAGAGGAGGGTGGTTGTGGTCTGTGGTAGAGGGGGGTGGTCTGTGGTAGAGGGGGTGGTTGTGGTCTGTGGTAGAGGAGGGTGGTTGTGGTCTGTGGTAGAGGGGGTGGTTGTGGTCTGTGGTAGAGGGGGTGGTTGTGGTCTGTGGTAGAGGGGGTGGTTGTGGTCTGTGGTAGAGGAGGGTGGTTGTGGTCTGTGGTAGAGGAGGGTGGTTGTGGTCTGTGGTAGAGGGGGGTGGTCTGTGGTAGAGGGGGTGGTTGTGGTCTGTGGTAGAGGGGGTGGTTGTGGTCTGTGGTAGAGGGGGTGGTTGTGGTCTGTGGTAGAGGAGGGTGGTTGTGGTCTGTGGTAGAGGAGGGTGGTTGTGGTCTGTGGTAGAGGAGGGTGGTTGTGGTCTGTGGTAGAGGAGGGTGGTTGTGGTCTGTGGTAGAGGGGGGTGGTCTGTGGTAGAGGGGGTGGTTGTGGTCTGTGGTAGAGGAGGGTGGTTGTGGTCTGTGGTAGAGGAGGGTGGTTGTGGTCTGTGGTAGAGGGGGGTGGTCTGTGGTAGAGGGGGGTGGTTGTGGTCTGTGGTAGAGGAGGGTGGTTGTGGTCTGTGGTAGAGGAGGGTGGTTGTGGTCTGTGGTAGATGGGGGTGGTTGTAGTCTGTGGTAGAGGGGGTGGTTGTGGTCTGTGGTAGAGGAGGGTGGTTGTGGTCTGTGGTAGAGGAGGGTGGTTGTAGTCTGTGGTAGAGGGGGGTGGTCTGTGGTAGAGGGGGTGGTTGTGGTCTGTGGTAGAGGAGGGTGGTTGTGGTCTGTGGTAGAGGAGGGTGGTTGTGGTCTGTGGTAGAGGGGGGTGGTCTGTGGTAGAGGGGGTGGTTGTGGTCTGTGGTAGAGGGGGTGGTTGTGGTCTGTGGTAGAGGGGGTGGTTGTGGTCTGTGGTAGAGAGGGTGGTTGCAATAGAGACTCTCGGTGAAGAATCAGTGACGAAGGTACAGCACCAAGAAAGGAGAACACGAACAAAAACAGAAAGAGAAGATAAGGCGAAATGAGAGGAGAATTAACCCCGGTTCAAGCTGGGTCAGAGTGAGAGGGAAGGTCACGTGGGACTCACATTACAGGTCAGCGCTGGAGTCCTGACCTACAGTAAACCCCGCCCATGAGTCTTCTTTAAGAGGGCTTAACTTGACGTGAGTCGGGTCTCGAGCGCCTCAACTGAAGACACCGTCGGAAAGAAGAAAACATTCTATAAAACGTCTTATTTTGGTGCTGAAGCAGAGACATAGCCTCCTTTGGAAGAGGTTCCGTCACCTCCTCACCTTCCTGGTGCTCAGGTACTCGCACGAACACACAGCTCGTTCCTCTGTTGATTCGAAAAATACATGTGGAATTGCTAATGGTAATCGAATTACTTCAGTGTACCCTCACATGTCTCAAACCCGCAGATCCTAAAGTAGCATCGCTTCCTGTGTATCTCATAGGACTTAAAACAGACATTGAGGTGCCCTACCATCCCTGGAAAGACGATGGCGGCACAGAACACTGCAATTCTTCACGACATTTCCACAGTGGGTCATCAAGATGGTGAGATTAAGTCCCTTATTATATGAAAGCCAAGTATTCAAGTATTATTCAAGTAGAGTGTACGAGTGTGAGCGAAGGTGAGCAACATCCTCACTCCAATAAAACCTAACTAAATTACTCCGATTAGGCAAAGGTGTACTATATAATTGGTTAATCCAGCTGGTAAGACCAGCTGAGAGGGTCAAAGATATTATGTCGTAAGTAAAGTACCTCTTAGGTATCACCACTGCGTGCGCGCGCGCGCTTACACACACACACACACACACACACACACACACACACACACACACGGGACCACAACCCCCGCAAGCACACACACACACACACACACACACACACACACACACACACACACACACACACACACACACACACACACCTTCTTGTGTGTGTGTGAGGGGAGGCCTGGCAGCTGAATGGACAGTGCTCGGGATTCGTAATCCAAGGGACCGGGGATCGATCCCCGGCGAAGGCGGAAACAAATGGGCAGATTTCCTTTCACTCTGATGCTCTGTTCACTTACCAGTAAATATGTACCTGGGAGTTAGACAGCTGTTATGGGCTGCTTCCTGGGCGTGTGTAGGGGTGAGGGGGGGGGAGGAGACAAGAAAAAGTTGAATGACAGTTGAGAGGCGGGCTGAAAGAGCCAGAGCTCAACCCCCGCAAGCACAACTAGGTGAGTACAATTAGGTGAGTACACACACACACACACACGTGCGTGGGTGGCCGGTTAGTTAGTAATCCCAGACAGAAGAGTATGCTAAACTACAAGATAATTAAAGTTGACTTTCCCTAATCTCTCAACACAAGAGTCGTTCTTAGCGTCAAGGCGCGTACAGCGATCACACGGGAGGCACAGACGCCCGTGTTGTTTTCCTCTTGGCTGGCCACAGAGATCTTATCTCAGCGGGAAATCATCTCCTGCAGGTCCCACCCATCAACCCTGACAGCAAAATCGTCCAACTACGACCCATATTATGCCACTATCGCCATTTCCGTCCATACTAATACGGGGAAATATGTCCTCATTTACATTTGCTCGTCAGTAATTCAGGTCTCCGCTTGAGGTAAAA